TATATATATATAAAAGATGATATTTGATGTAATATTAATTTACGATATTTAAGAATTTAAAGTTGCTCTATAAAATTAGAGAACTAAAATCACATAATTACAATTTTTGAGGAATAAAAACACATATTAGTCAATAAAAAAATAAAAATAGGGGATTAAAATCATTTATCCCCAAAATTTGTCACTTTTTTTCTCCAATGGAAAGAACTATTAAACCTAATCTATAACAAAAAAAAAATGACCCAGAGAAAATATTTTAACAATGATAAAAGTTCATATAATAGAGTTTATTTATGCACAAACGTCTTAATAGAAAAGATTTAAGTAAGAAATCGCAACGATTTTGGTACTATCATTGTAATTCTTTGAGAAATTACAAGATGATAAATGTAATCTTAATTTTTTTTCCTTATTGCTTATTCAAATGTATTTCTTTCTTAGACTTGTATTTCCCAAATATTAGACATGGTCAAACTACGTTATCGTTGTGTTTATCATCGTTTATTTGAATTGATATTCTAACACAGTGTTGACTGTTTTAGTACATACCTTGTATAAAACACAAGGGTTGCAATAAAACAATTTCCATCATAGTCGAAGCAAAATTGGGCTCAGTAAATTATGAACATAATACAGATTTTCAGCCTGTAGTCGTAGTAGCCATATTGGCCCACAACTAATCATCAAGAACACTTGACCTGCTGTATGAACAACTTTGTTTTACCTCTAAACAAGAATTTTCTTTCAGGAGTTTCGTATGGTTAAATTCGGATTTATGGCCATGTGGCAACTGATCATACTTCGACCACGATAAGTTTATTAGGTTGAAGATATATATTACTTATTTTACAGACGATTTGTAATGATCACTTCTGATGGGGACATTGATTTCACATCAATTTCGTAAATTTTTGTTGCCCTACATGCCCTTACTAGAAATAGAGTGGAACTGGAATGCACCTCTTGAAAACATTTTTCATACCTTCGGTTTTGATTATAAGCTTCACAAAAGTTCATCAAAATATTACTAACTCGTGTCACTTCTGGTTGATTTGATTAACTTGAAGCAATCATCCCAAAAGGAGAATAATTCTCAAAACAGACTTTATATTTATTGCATACCATTAATTTCAAGAACCCTCGTTAAACCATTTTTATTATGTTAAAATTTAACCCTTCTTGCAGCACACAGTTCAAAATCCGCACAGATCAAAATATCAAACCATTTTTCATCATGTTAAAATTTAACATGCAAATGAATTTCCTCTGCGTGACAGATGCACATTAATACTGCTATTTAATTGTAATTTTAAATACGTGCCATAAATAATTTATAGTAAAAACCAGGAAGACTCGGAATAGATTTTGTTTGAAATAAACGTATTAAAATTTACATTACAACCAAGGAATGTGTATATAATAACAAAATCGGCATAACGTAAATATATACCAGACACAGGTTTTTCACGACTTATGATATTACAAATGACTTAACTTCTACACAACAAGGAACAAAAGCTATAAAGAATCCGCACACTGCCACACAGTTCAAAATTATTGAATACCAATAATTTCAAGAACCCTTATTAACTTACACTTTTGAAAGGGATTGGCACAACAACTTCATATGCTAATAAATATAATCTAAGATGTTGAAGCAGCTTTGGAAGATGGGTTGAAAGGAACCTGCTCAGCGCATGTAAGGATATCATGGGGCCCAGCCTGTTCTCGACCGACACCAAGAAGGTCGAGATAATATAGGTAATGGGAAACGATATTGTTCATTGAGTCCACATCACCTTGTCCACAAACACCATCGCCATAGAGAATGTTCATTGTGGTGCCAAAGCCAGGAACCCGATTCTCCATGGTGTCATTCTTTGTGGGCTTCCAGTTGCCAACAAAGGCATCATGAGCAGAGGGCTGTGACTTTTTTATTGGTGTCATCCATCTCCAAATTGCAGCCTGGAAAGCAAGGGTTGCATTCTGCTCTATGTATTCTGGATGACTGAGTAGATCCACCTTCAAAGCTTCTCCAACAGCACCGTAGTTGTAGTTCCTATATTGGTGATACCATTAAGTACAATCTCCACATTCAGCAAGCACAGTGGTGTTGATAAAACCTAATAAATAGTACTTCTATAGCCTATCTACACGTTTAAAGTAAAACTGGCTCCAATAAGATATATATAGAAATAGAACTACCTTTTAAAAAATATGCATGAAATACAAGTTTAAATCTTAGAAGCAATTTTATCTTTGACAAGATGTACAGTTGACAGTCTGAGATGCTACTTGATTTGATCAGGTTGCCATTATACTGATATGGTCAAATATCCTACCCATTCAGACCAAGCAGAATTTTGAATATCAGAACAATAGAATGCTTGGAGCAGGTTCAAGATTTGACTGGCTTTACAGAAAAGCTGCACATGCATATATTATTTTTAATTTTCACTAGCAACACTGATAATTTCATATATCATCCACACAAACCCAGAAATCCATCTCCCACATCCCCCAGTAACTGATTGATTACTGCATTTTTCTTTCTATTTCCCTCACCCTTATCCTATTTCATCTCTTGTTGAACAGGCTCTTTCTCATTTACAATTTTTCAAAACTTTGCAAGGTTCACTTAACTCCTCTATCTTTTCTTTATTATGATGTGAAGAATCTATAATTTCCACAATGGGCAGCTAAATGATATTTTGAAGGTTTTAACATGTAGTTATCTGTGTATGAAATGCATCATTTACATTCAGTGGACTACTCAAACCATAAACTTATCAGCTAAAGTGAGTTTGATGATCATGGTCATTGAGGTGCTTTGGATGAATTAATTAGTGATAGCACACCAGAACCTAACTGCTATCCATTAACTCCGTTCAACATGTCTGATTGATTCGGCACAGAGTCTACAGACTGGTCAGGGATATCGTGAAAACCTTAAAATGATACTGTACAAGTTTGGGAAGAATGGAAGTCTTCGGAAATGAGAAAGAAACTTTCCAAGACTAGCTACCATATAGCCTCTCTATGTATTACTACAAACTCAAAGCAAACAAACAGATACATACCAGAAAATGGGAATTGCTCCACGTCCATAGTACTCAGCACCAGGAGTACAGGGGTAGGTGAGTTTGAAATAGTCATCACAATATGACTGCATAGGACTCATTTCATGATTGTAACAAAGACCCCAAGCGAAAGGTCCTCCAGTAGCCACTCCATAACCACCTGGCACCACCACCATTACAAGAACAATCAAGACCAGACAACACACAAGTATCCAAATTAAAGCACAACTAAATTAACCACTGCACTTCACGCAACTCCCACAACATAAACAGTAAATCCAAAATTACACATCTCCAAAAAATAAACTCTCGCCAAACAATCACACACCATGCCTGTCACAAATAAAACTCATCCCAAACCAACCACAGATCCGGATTCGTTTTCAATTTCCACGCATCCACACATTCAATTTCAACAACTCTGAACAAATGAAGAGCAGACAAGTCATGTTATAATTCAATAAATCAGACCTAAAACACACATTCAAAACCTAAGTCCTCCAATCTTGATCCAATGGTTACAAAAGCGAGGAATGCCTGAAAAACCGACTGCACCGACTCCATTTCCAAACAAATCAGACAACACAAAAAGAAATCGAAATCACACAACCAAACAGGAAGAAAGACTTACAAGAGGTCTTGCTGCCGACGTGTCCGAGGAAGGCGGCGATCTCCATCATCTGCAGGGTCTTGTTCCCGGTGGTGCCGAAGCCTACAGGCTCGAAAAGCGCGGCGGCGGCGATAAAGGAGTGGTAGTCCCAAAAGCCGACGGCGTGGGCGACGGGCGAGTTGCGCTTGGAGAAGAGGTTCTCGAACTGGTAGGTCTGGAAATAATCCGTTATGGTGAGGTTACAGCAGTAAGTGGACCAACCCTTGCACTCCCACCCCTTGTCGCAGTACTTCTTCCCGTGCTTGTACTTCACCAGCGTCTTCACGTCCGAGTTCTGCCCCTCCACACTCGCCGCCACCGCCAGCACCGCCAACGCCATCGCAACCACAGCGTTCCGCTTCGCCATCTCCATCTCTGCTCGCAGTCGCACACACACAGGGACACCCAATCGATCAAATAATGCTCCTTCTCCGTTCCTGTTATGTGTGCTTACTGCTTAGTGTGTGTGCGCTTATGTGTCGAACGTTTTTAGGGTCATCCACCCTGCACATGACGCTGCTGGGCCCACAACTGTTCGATGTTTAAGTCAGAACAGACTGGCTTTGAGGCAAAGAACCACGCTACTCCACCGACAACTAAGAGGGCCATTGGAAATCTCTTCATTGCCCTTCCTTCCTTTAGTTGCCAGGTCTATTATGAAACAAATGGATTCTTGTTCTTGCTACTTAGTTGCCATTATTTCTTTTTTTATTTTTTATTATTCGTTACATATATTTATATTTATTTTATTTTTAAATAATAGGCGCTTAAGAAACTGTCATCACTCGTTACAAATAATTTATAGTTTATTATAAAATATTAAGTGAAGAAGAAGAAGAGAATAAATTGTTAAACGAATTGTAAAACAACGTTAAAACAACGAAAAGGACGTAAGTAACGGCAACCGACAGAAACTTATCAACGGATTATCTTCTGATAATTATGCATAACAGTACACACTAAACAATTGGACTCTTCTTGAACATAAACTTAACTCTGATAACAAAAGCTAAACATAATTTTATATTTTTGATAAATTATTTGTTAAGTTTATAATTTACTTTTTAAATTTTAAATGTTTAATATTTCACAATATTTTTCATAATTAACAGTAACATCTTTCATTCTTTTTCTAACCCAATGCCTTTTAGAATTTACAAATAAAGTTGTATGAAACTTAGTTTGAAAAAAAAATTCTATATATTTAAAGTTTAGGCGAGATTAATATAAAATTAGACTTTCTTTTTTGAAAAAAGAGTACCAATAGGTTAAAATTTAAGCAATGTGTTATAATTTAATCCAAAAATTGATATTAAACTCTATTATATCAATTTACAATTCACTCTCTTACTGTTTACATCGAATATAATTTATATAATATAACATGTTTTTTCATCATTTTCTTAATACTTATTTTCATTTAGTTATTTTCATCACGTTACTTTTTTATTTAACATTTTTCTGTCTTCTTCGATCTCTTTAATGGTAGTGGAATTTTTTTTTTAAAAAAATTATTGTACAAAATAATTAACTATAATCTTTTGTATATATTAATGGAATATGTTTTTTGAAAACTGAAGCGTTAACACTTTTTTCTTAAAAGTATTTTTTAAAAATTATCCGAACAAATTCGTAACTTAATAAATAAGTTAGGTTAAACTATTAAACTTTAAATGTTAACGTATTATGCCCCTATTTGATACGGCTTAAATTTTTACTGGTCCAAACAAGGTTGACTTATAATATATCAAACTAGTTTGATGTCTTGATTTATTTTTAATTATTTATTTTTTTATAATTAATAAAATTGTAAATAATAAAATAAATATAACAACCTCACATGATTTCTACCATAAAATCAAGTGATTAGTAGCCAAAATCACACTACAACTATTTAGGATCAATATAATTACGACACCTAGATATATACACTATAACATATATGCTAGTTGTTAGGGGTGAGTATATGGACTTGAGTCCGCGAACCGGTCCGTAAGTCCGCAGACTTCACGGATAACGAACCCATTTTTTTTAATTCGTATAATCATACGGACTTTTTAGGCCCGACCCATTTAGTCCGCGGATTTTGCGGATTTAATCCGCGAGCCCGTGGATTACCCGTTTAAATGTGGACTCAAATTTTATTATTGAAGATGCTTGATTATATTTGATAGATGTAATTGGACTTACAAATATTTTATGTTTGTTTTTAAGATATTAATTAAGACTTTGATGTTTTAAGGTATTTAGACTTTGATGTACTTGGACTTACAAATGTTTTATATTTGTTTGGTTGTGTATTAAGACTTTTAAAGTTTTAAGGTAGTAAGGCTTTAATATTTGGTTAATAGTTGGTATGCTTGGACTTTAAATTTTAAAGGCATTGAGACTTAAATATTTCTATTAGAAATTTAGAATGTGTAAACTTTGTTATTTAAGACTTTGATTTATTATTTACAATGTTTGATGTTATTATTAGAAATATATTTATATCATTTTATATGTTTTTTTTCCTCATGTTTTCATAGGTTAAATAAAGGAAAAGAAATTTAAAATCTGAGTCAATATTCATTTAAACAATTTAGATTTAATTGGGCCCGCGGACTTATCCGTTTATCCGCGGGCTTCACGGGCCGGATACGGACTTGAAGATTTAAGTCCATTTATTTCGCGGACCGGATTTATCCAGCCCGTTAAAAATGCGAACTTCGCGGACCGGGCCTTAAACGGGCCGGACCGGTCCGCATACCCACCCCTACTAGTTGTAATATAGCTGTGAATATAAAAATCTTAGTTATCTATCAAGAAACATCTATACAAACTAGTTACATAAGAGTAACTTAACAAATGCAACAAAACCAACCACAACATGATCTTATCAAAGTCATTGTCTGCCTCCAACTAATCCAGGCTTACTCTTATGAACAATAAGAATGTCGCAATCCAACCATCAACAAACATGCAATAATAAGCTAGATATCAAAAGAATCAATATATTAATAGATTAACATAACTACGACCCAACATCTAGTTTAACAACACATAACAACACACAAATGGAATTTGCATTAACAACATACAACCTTGCATATAGATAACACTTTTTAATGATCAACAACTTACACAACAACGCAACATAACAACATAATCCTTTCAACTAAACAACATATCAGCACAGTATAATGACAACGTAGCTAATTACAACACAATACAACTTTGCAACATGTTAACCTAAAAACATCAAAGCAATATAACAACTTAACGCTAGGTTAACTTTTCAACTTTAAACATAACATTAGCTAAAACAATATTTCAATAATTAACCAAGTCAACTAACAACTCAATTTGATTTCTTAGGTTTTTTCACTTAAATTAGGAAGTCTAGTATTGTTGTCAAGGTAAAATAGTTTGGTTATGAGCCTATACGACATTGATTTACATCACTAAGCCACTTATAGGATTAATCTATCGATTACCTTCAAAGTACTACACCCCCTCCAATACTCAATTAGAGACCAAGTCTCCATCTTTATACCTTACTTGGTTAATCAATTTATACACGTATGATTCAACCTGTCCCTCACACGGATCCCACATAAATCATAGAGTGTGAGGCCCCTTCCTTTTTCTCCTTCCCATTTCTACCCTTTCACTCTTACTCACGAAAGTCTCACTCCTTTACTCTAAACTCCCACTCTCTTCTTCTCACTTTGCTGTTTCACTTTCGATTTCTTGGATTCAAGGTGGTGGTGCTGAGTAGTTGGATTGCTAGCTGGTTGTTAAGTCTCAATTTTACCTCTTTTTGATGAGACTT